AGAGTATTGCATTCAGTCAGATAAATTCTAGCAGCATCCTTCTGATCTTCTAACCCAAATATATAACTGACTGTCACTTACATACCATTAACACTTTTTCAGTCATTAATGAGGCTGTCCACAACATTGTGATGGGTTATGCACAGGAGTTTATTAAGGCAATATACAAATGCAGTATGTACAAAACACGTGTATGTGTGTCATGGAAGTATTTGAAAAGATATTTATCTGGCCAACGGTGGTTTTAGAAAAGCTCTCTCAGGTGTGATGTCTTGTTCCTCTGGAGCAGTCCATAAATCCTTGTTATTTACATGTATGGGAAATGGACATAAGGTGGTTTAGCCAATTCTTCACAGTAAATAAGATTTAAAAGCTGATGAATTATCTGCCAGTATCCAGGGCCTGACCTAGGAACACTGTGCACATTTCCTGGCTTCAGGCCAGCTGCATGTCTCTGCTTAATTCCCAATACCATGTGCCAGCGAGGGCACATGGCCCCTGTATCACACTGACACGAGCTCCTAGGAAGGCCTTCTCCTTTCATGAAGATATTCTCTGTCTTGAAGAAAGAGATAAATGGTTTGGAAACAGCTCAGTATTCCCCTTTGAAATTTTGAAAACATTCCAAAGGTCATTCTTGGTTAACCAGGACTTGACCTAACAAATTTTTGGCTTAACCAGTATTGACAGTGAAGGGTGGAATTGGCTGAGTGAATATTCTACTGTTTTGTTTTAGTTTACTGATTAGGCTATTTGTAAATTTTATGTTGTCCGTTAGTTTATTTACTTCTCCGGAAATTAATTGTTCTGTGGCTATCCTGCCACTGGCAGTAACCTTCATGGACACAGAAAACATGCTTTTGGTGTTGGAGAAATCCAGTGTTTTGGGGGTTAAGTTTTAAAAGTTAATTTAATAACTGCTAGCACCATCTGCTGGCCTACTTCCTTACAAAGAGAGAGAGAGGGAGTAAGAGAGTGAGCAAGTGAGAGAGAGAGAGAGAGAGAAAAAAACCAGTCTGGGTTTTAACGACATCTCTAATATTCATGCTGATGCATTTTGCTGCTTTGTGCTTTCATTTTCCACCGCTCTGCCTGCCAGAGGCTCGAGTTCTCCACGTACACCCCAGCCAGGCAGAGTGGCGGGCAGCGGGGGAGAGGGAGAGAAAGACAAGTGGTAAAGGAGGAAGAAAACAAACCGACTAAACAGCTAAGTCAGCTTACACAAAAGCTTTTTTCTGTGTAATTAAAGGAGTAACCTACCTTTCTGGCTGGAGAAGAAGACGGGTTTAGGAACGAAAAGGGAACCAGCTAAACAGCAAGAAAAGGAAAGACCAAGAAATCAGAGGAAAAGGTTAGGAAAGTAAGAGAGAGCGCACACCAAAGGCAGGCGGAAAGAGGAATCAATGAGAGGGGAGGAGAGAGGAGGTAGGGAAGGCAACTCTGACACACACACTCACTGAGAGTGAGGAAGACTTGGGTGAAGCCGGACGACAGCAAAGCAGCACGCAACAGCAGAATGAGAGCTTCCTGGACTGCCACGCACCTCCTCTACCGCCCACAGCACTGCTCCCTTGTGTGACCGTGAAGAGAGAAGCAAGGGGGAGAGAGTGAGAGGGGGAGAGAGAGAGAGAGAGAGGGAGAGAGCTCCCATGCGCTCCTCTTGAGCCCTGCCTGCTAGGGGAGGAGGATACGGACGGCTCTAGTGCTCTCACACTGCCTGAGGAGAAGAGTTGCCCTGGGAAGGAGGAGGGGAGGCAAGCGAGGAATGAGTGAGGGAGGGGAGGGGGGGGACACAACTGAAAGAAGAGTGAGAGGAAAAAAAATCGACTGTTGAAAGGGGAAAAAAGTGAGTGTTTGTAACTGAAAGCCTGAGCAAGCAACAGACAGAAAGAGAGAGAAAAACCCCGCGAAAGAGCAAGGCTTTTGTTAGCCGGTTGGAGAGGGGGAGGAAAGAGGAAGAAAAAAAACACACCATGTCTACAGTGAAGAGGCCAAGAGGAAGGGTAAGTGAGCTGCTCCGAGAGCTGGGAGGGAGGAGGTCCAAGGGGGAGGAGGAGGAGGGGCCGGCAGGAACTGAACAACCTCTCCTGCTACTGGCTCATGCTGCACTGCCGCCATCTTAAACTCATTGCTGCCTTTTTTCCTCTCCTCTGTACTCATTGGATTGTGACAGTAGACCTCATCAGCCTACTGTAGATCACTGTGTCATTCTTGTAGCTCAGTCTTTGACTTCCATACATGGCTCTGCTCCTGCCGGCTAACCCTTCTCTAAGCAGCTTTCACTGTAGGTATGTACACTATGTGAAGAGTGTGTGTGTGTGTGTGTGTGTGTCCTTTTACGAGTTGAGCCACTCTGTCACCAGCGAGCTCACTACATGTGGAGGTGAGGTTTGTGAAAGAGATGAGAAGCCTAAATGGAGCTAACTCTACCTTTTCATGGCCCATAATGTTCCCTTCTTTTTCATGGGACGATGTGCTGTTACAGAGATTGAAATCACTGCAGTGTTGGCAGGCTGTAATTTCAGTTATTTATAGATGTATTTTACTGGTGCAGTGCCCTCACTTTTGGTGGCATTTCGTTGCCTTTCTCTCACTCTCCTGTTTTCTCTCCCAGAGAACATATTTCCTTTTCTTTTCTGTTTCCCTCTTTCATGTGCTCTCATGTTCTTTGCCTCTCCAGCTCCCACTTTCAGCCCCTCCCCTTTTTCTTATTTTATCATTAATGTGAATGAGAACATTCCAGCATGATCCAGTTAATTTTTCCCCTAATATCCTCAGCAGCTTTGCACACGGGAAATTTATAATTCAGCTCTTGTATGTATTAGGTTGTTTTTTTTTCTCTCTTCCTTCTGATGATTATCCCAGTCCCTGCCCCCACTTTGTTGGTGTGTTTGAAGCTAATTCTCTTTATTTAGCTGGCAGTGGGGGGAAAAAAAAAGCAGTCGGTTGTGCCTGGGCCATGTCGGCATATGCACTACAATTTTAGATTAGGTCATCCATTTATGGGTTCCCTTGCTGCTGGGCTCAAGGCCCACCACAAAGCACTTGTGTGTTGGCTGCAGTCTCATCATCTATTATTCACGTATTATCATGTATCAGGCTGGCTGGATTATTTATGTCTGTGCGGCTGACTAAAACCTGCAGCATGGAGCCTTGTGTTTAAATTCTAAGCCCCACCTAAAAGAACATAGTTAATTTAAAGCTCAGATAAGCAAATTCATATGTCACAGTTTTGGCAGTTTTCAGGCTACCTTAACAAACAGACATTTTGTAGGAAACGCTGAACTTCGGAAAGCTGAAGCTCCCCTGGTAGAAATTGTCAAGAGGCTAAAACCAGAAGTCAGCATCCAAGTCAAAGAAAGGTCCACTCCCAGCATCCAAAATCAACAAGTGCTGCTGTCTGAGTGATTCACACACTCTCCTCAAGGTTGGGTTTTTATGAATGAGTCAGTGATAGTTGCTGTTGGTGTCACAGAACCACTGTGGATCCTTTTGGTGAATTGCAGATACTTGAAATTACACTGTTAAAAATTGTTTTACCAGAATAAAAGCTGCCTCACTTACTCTGATCAACAGAATCTTCTGGGCTGGGTTGTTGTCAAAATTTAAATAGACGAAATACACCACATTGATCCACTGTTTATTTTATGAAAAAATCTGCCACTCCCTGGGTTTGTGTCAATGACAATCGATGACTTTGTCTCAAGCATTTGTTGTTTTAACCTAAATGTTGATTTTCTGCCACTTATTTATTTCTTATTTCTTTCACTTTTACTTTTAGCCGAGAAAGAACACTAATGGTCCTGGCTGCCAGGTACGGGCCCTAAGTCCCCTGGTGAAGAGCAGCTCGTCGTCTTCCTCCTCGTCGTCGCCATCATCTTCTTCATCAAGCTCCTCCTCCTCTGAGAAAAGGGCACAGCAGAGGACGCACCATCAGATGGAGACATCACCATTGGGCAAACAGGAGAAGGCCAACAGGATAATATCAGAGGCTATTGCAAAGGCACAGCAGCGTGGAGAGAAGAATATTCCCAGAGTCATGAGCCCTGAGAGCTTCCCTGGTTCCTCCTCCCAGTACAAGTCCCACCGAGATCGAGAGCACAAAGGAAATGGCAAGGCCCGGTCCAAACAGAAGGCCTGTAGGAAGGCCCACATTGTACCATCTTCCAAGTCCAAGCAGAAATCCAAGATTGGGTATGTACTAACAATCATTATTAATAATCAATATAGTCTGACTAGACTGATCCAGCAATAGCACTAAAAGCTGGTACTATCTTATAATAGGTCTGGAGCATTTACAAAACAATAAAGCGATACATTGTGCATTGCAATGAGACTTCCTTAACAGATATTTAAGATTGAATACATTTAACTTCTAGTCTTTTATTATTGTCGTCTCAGATTTACCTAAAACTACATCACTGTCAGTAAGTCAGTAAAAAAAAATACAACTGAATCTTATGTTAAAGTATATCTAATGTAGATTTTATTTTAGTTATTGTCAAGGTGTTTATTTTTTCTGCTCGAGTCCTTTTGCTAGTGTACATTTTTAGCCTGTCTTTGTCAGGATGGAAGCTCAAGGTTCAACAGTATTTACTGCCCTCAATAATAATAAACCAGACTTGTCGTCGGCCATCATTGACATAGGAGGAGCAAACAAAGGCTGCATTTACATGTGAGGCGTTACTGTCTAGATTTGAGGCAAGTACTGCTGATGTATAGATACTGTAATCCGCCTCCCATCCCCCTGTTAACAGCTATATGCAGTGTAAAGCTATAAGCCACACCCAGCACAAGCTATTGAAATATCAGCACATAAATGTGAAGACCACAGCAGGAAGTGGAAGAAAAAAAAAGACTTATTTTCAGTGCAGTAATATAATCATTTGGATATATTGTGAAACAACTTAAATAATATTTTTGAGGGTCTATTTTGGAGACACGGTTAAAGAGTGTCGTAATTTGTAGTCAGTAATATTGTATCTTGCATGCAACTGGTTGGTTAATAAAAATATATACCATATTTATACTTTAGACATGCTAAGGCTATGTGTGTTCTGTTTGTGTGTGTTTATGTTAGTGTCAGTGAAGTAGTTGTGGGTGTACAGATGTTATGAAAAAAGTATGTTGGACTTTTCTTTTGGATATTTTGTGCTGATATATTATCTAAGCTTTCAGCCTGTGTTTGATATGCTTGTCTAGAAATGCTCACAGTCACATTTGCAATACAGCCATTCATAAATGCAAGGACCAGTTATGGTCCTTATGTTAGTTCAAGTCACTTAAGCTGTGTCATAGGCATGGAAACAATTAGAACATCTGTGATAATAGAACACTGCATGTACTGTAATGTGACATTTCTTTCATAGGCATGTTGTAAAAATGACCAGTTCTGACAGCCTCACATTTTGTGGATTGTTCTTTATAACATTATGTCAGTGTTAAGAATTGCTTTGCATTTAAATAGACAATGACTTATAAGTGAGGGGCTGCAGATATCTAGAGACTTGCACTTTGTCTCACTCTTAATTTGGAGATTGAATTAACAATATTTTAAAAAAGATGTCCTTTTCTTGAATGATGTGCCTTTCGTGAAAAAAAAGGAGAAATTAGTAGTGTGGGAAGTCGAGTCAGATATTTTAGTGGCGGCTCTCGGGAATATGATATTTATATTTATAATGTTCCATATAGGTGGAACTTTATGGATGTAACGGACAGATGAGAGAACAATCAAAAACTGGCAAATATACTGTCATCCAATAAAACATATGTTTACTCTTAGGGATTACGCAGTTAATTGAACAAACATCACTGATAATAGAGAATTTGATGTGATTAGAAGAACAAAGCAGGGAAGAGAAGGAGGCTAAGGAAAATATTAATGTATTGATTTCTTGAACAGAGTGGAAACATGCTGGATGCCATAAACATTTTCAGTAATGTCATTTTAAATGAAGAATTGGAATGGCATAGTCCAGGATAGATAGGTGTAGGAAGTGAATAAACAAGGAAATTATTCAATTTGGCATGCATATCAAATGTTTTTCTGTATGTAGTCTGTAAGACACATTGCTAGTAATTAGATTCTTGACTAAGGTATTTTCAGCAATTCTTTGGTTGTCACTGTCAGGTTGTTAAAGCAATGTAAGCTTCACCAGACATTCATAAGTTATCTTCCCATTTTAACTCTGACCTTGACCGTAACCCATGTATTGCATTAATGCAATTGAATCAATAGCAGTTGAATCATCCTTTAAGTCTTCTCATATTAGTTACCTCTGTGTGAAAGAGAGGTACTTGGGTTCATTAAAACACATATTGATTTTTGCTTTTAGTGCCTTTATGCTCTCCACGTGTTGTACAAATTGATATTTAATCCTGGCCATACCTCAAGGTCAGCTTTAAATGGCCAGAAGATAGTTGTCAGTTGTGATAACAGGTTTTTGTTATCAGAGTGATTCTTCTGGAATATCTTCAAAGAGTAGACTAAAATTTGAATTTGGGGTCATAGTTTCAATCTGGTCTTAGTGACATTTGTTTAAAGTGTAGTTATTAGGTGCCTGGAAATCTCTGGTTAAGTTTTTGTTAAAAAATAAATAAATAAAGTAGAATATTGATTAATATTTAATGATTAAAGTTTTGTTTGAAATTCCATTTTCTTATTTTATAAACTATAATAGGTTATGAAGTTTATTAAACTGACCCATATGCTAATCTAATTGTTATTATTTTGGCTCGTGTTGACTTGAAGCCATAAATTACTCTCTATGTTTGACGAATGGTACAGTATAAGATAAATATTTAAATACTGTTGCTAACAATACACTTGAAATGTACCTACTTTTATTACATTTTATTCTAGCTCCTGTCTGCTGTTGACAATAACAAGTGGTCTGAGGAGTGTACTGCGGAGTGAGTTTAGTGGCTTAGCAAGGTATGTTGAGTTTAAGCCCAGGCTTTCCTGTACTACAAAGGTGGCTCTCTTTTAACGTGGCTAGATCACCATGGTAACTTATGCTTCGCTCATAACCTGGTCCCAACGAGGGAGAACTGATCGATGTTTTACTTGTTATAGGGCAGTGGAAGCCCAAATGCAAGTCTGACAGGCTTGACCTATTTTCACTGTCAAAAAGGTCCTAATTGTCATCACAGAGAGACAGTGGACTTGTATTCTATAATTGAGATCAGTAAACTATATGAAAACTATAAACTTCATCCAAAAGAAAGACAGTTATTGCTCTATTTGTTCATATGTAAAAGCAATTTTGAGGTTTCAAAAATTAAATTGAATTTAATTGAACTGGACTTGACGAAGCAAGTTGATAACTGCAGTTTCAGTACAGTTTAACTGTGATTGGGGGATTCAGGTTTCATTATGCCAGACCATGAACACAAAGCCTGGCTATGTTGAACCTCCTTCAATGTACAGGTGTCTGATCTACTTTTGGAGCTATGTAGCTTCTAACCATCTCGCTTTTGGTTTTTTTTTTCCATGGAATAAAATACAATTATAAAGGTAACCACAATACAAATTCACACTTACTGGTCCTGGTTTACACTGATGAGGATGAGGCAACTCTTCAAGACCTGCTTTTACCAGACAATAAAGCAAATCAAACTATAATCAATAAGAAAATTGTTTAAAGTTGACCCCCAAAAGTTCTTATTTGTGAGTTTTTTCAGGTCATCTGAGATAATGGACTACCTGTTGTAGTGTGAAACTGTGAAAAGTTACACCTAAAGTTGCAGGGACAGGTGATTTATGAATTAAATTAAATATGTTTTACTAACTAATTCCCTTACAAGTCCAATCATGAATTTTGCTTGTATATGGAATAAAAGTTTGGCAGTCAGAACACTCTGTTATACACTGTTATATTTGTTAAATGGTTATACATGAAACTTCTACATGTCAACTAGTAAAAAAAGCCCTCAATAAAAGGCAGACAAACCAATTTTCCCAGACGCTCTAAGCTCTACACGGCTTATTAAAAAGCATGATTTGAAAAAAAAAAAACTTAATTAGGCCGAAATGTCATTATTATAAATTGCATTATGACACACATTATTCTATTCTTGTCATTTCAACATTCATTCAACGTCAATTTTTTACTTAAGGCCAGGCCAGATCTGTGTTTGAAATGTGTGCATGGTGGAATACGTCAAAGTCCAAGATACTGAGGAACTCAGTAAGTCTGCTAAGTACCCCATTGTTAATGATACAATGATGCATTTGAAATAAAACTAATTGAAATTATTTTTGCAACCAAAGATAAAACTAATTAGATAAATTAATAGAAAATTGCAAGAAATGACAGGAGAGGTATTGATGAGCTCAACCTGCTCTATGTTGAGCTCGTAATTTTCATACATAAATAAATGGAAGTTAGCTCAAAATCAATTTATAAATAATCGACCAATTGCAGCAATTGTCAATCTGTCATTCTGTGTCTTGTGTTTGTCTTTCTTGAAACACATGGCTGAGGTTAAGACGTAGTAAGACGTGGACTCTTATGTGGTGTCTGTCTCCAATGTTGAAGTCTAAATGTTCAAGTCTGTGTCAAGTTGTAATACAGACAAAGGTTGAGCTTGGATTTTCAGTTCTTTGTGTCCATTATTTTTTATTAATCTACTCACAGAACCATCTTACTGTTGCTAGACTTATTCTGTGTAGACTTTGACACAATGCTTATTGTTGTAGAGCAATCATGCCCAACCTTTTTTTGTACCAGGCAATGTTTTTAATGAAATATTTCCATGGGCCAGCAGCAATAGTGTGTGTAATTTTCTTTTAAATTCGGCTTTCTTTTTGGTGGCTTTTTGGAGCCACCCTCTGTCTCATCATTAGGCCTTCATTAAAGAATCAGTCCAGTGACTGAATGAAGCACTTCAGTAGTGAGTAGAAGGAATTGTTTTTATCAATAAAATATCAAGCAAAAAAACAAAAAAAACATGTTATTTTGTCTGTGCAGCCCAGTACCAAATGACAGCCCAGTGGTTATGGATCCTGGATGTAAATATTCATTGTACTACTATCCTGCATTGTACAACTGCAGTGCTTTTAAACTTGTTTGGCTTCCCACTTGCTAGGCAGATGGACCTCTCTGTTTTTTTTAAGTCGATACAATATGTTGCTGCTTGTGACATAATTAGGGAGAATTAACACGATGAAACACCCAAGAACCAACAGGGCT